CCGGGCGGCCACTGTAGGAGGTCAGTGGTGAATGGCCCAGCGTGGGCAGCAGAGCAGGCAGGGAGGCCATTAGGAGGCTGTCCTGGTGACGGTGGGAACAAGGGCGCAGGGGGGAATACCCAAGGGTACCCGTGTGGAGTCGGCATCTATAAATATTTCTCTCTTTTACCGCGTCCAGCGCGGCTAGAGAGCAGACAGGAGTCCTGAGTAGGGGCGACGGGGGATTGAGAAAATGAAAGAGAGAGACCGACACAGAGACAGAGGGAAAAGCTGGGGCCGGGTGGGACAGCTGTCCTCTGACCGAGAGACAGGGACCCAGAGCCGATACAGCGTGTTTATTTTATACAGTAAGATTCCAGGAAGTGTTACTAGAGTTTAAGATAAAGAAATATGTGCATTCTCGTGGTCACTCCTGGGTGGGCCCGGGTAATTGCGTCCGTTCCTGGCGCCTGAGCTAAAGGTCAGGCTGACAACACGCCCGCCTCTGGCACCGTCCGTTTCCAGGGCACGGCTCTGCCAGGCGCCACTGGACTCAGGACAGTCAGCTCAGGGGCCTTTCCCGGGCGCTCTCCGCAGCGTCCACTCTGAGGGACAAGGCCCAGGACGGTTGGCCCGTGGCCTCCGTGGCTGCCCGGGTGGTTTCCCACGGACCCGGTGCCCCGTCTTCCCCCTCAGGCCTCACAGCCCCGGGCCCTTCGCCTCTGCCTCCTGAGTCCTTCGGCCCGTCTGGGGCCAACACTCCCCTTGGTGGCCTTTCCCCAGCTCCAGCCAGCGGCCTGGTGCCTGCCACATGCAAGCCCCTCGGTGGCTGGCTGGAGGGTGGACGGACACCTGACCGCCTTAAAGCCCACCTTACATTTTAAAAAATATGTGTTTATTGATTTCAGAGAGGAAGGGGGAGGGAGAGAGAAACATCAATGATGAGAGAGGATCACGGATCGGCTGCCTCCTGCACGCCCCCCGCTGGGGATGGAGTCTGCACCCCGGGCCTGTGCCCTGACCGGGAATGGAACCCTGACCTCCTGGATCAGAGGCCAACACTCAACCACCTTCTCACGGCCATTCCCAGACCACCTCCCGCCCCTGCACCACGGCCTGGGTGGCAGTCATCCCCAGTGGGGGAGCCCCATCCTGCACCCCAGCTGGGGGAGCCCAGCCCTGCTTGCTGCCCCTTTAAGTGAGGGGATCCTCGGAGAGCTGTGGGGGAGGGTGGCTGGAGCCGCTTGGAAGGAATTTGCTGCGTTTTGCTGCAGAATCTGGCTCGTAGGCCCGGCGCTCCCTGGCGGCCTCCCCCCCCACGCACACACGCTCCCTCTCTGCTCTCTCCTTCTATCGTGGCCTCTTGCGTGTAGTGTCGTCCGAGTCACGGCTCCGCCGGTGGCTGCCATTTGTAGCCGCAGTGACAGCCGCCGTCACACGCACGGGCCTTTGTCGGGAATAAGACTCGGCCCCGCGTCGCAGAACATCCGGCCGAGCCCCGGCGCCCGATCGCATCCCTATCGCGTGGCGCGCGCTGCGGGGATGCGGCTCATTAAACATTGATCGTGGCCGCAGCCTGCAGCCTCCCTGTAACCGGATGGGAGGCCGAGGGAGGGGCGGCCTCGGGGCGGGGGCGGGGGAGGGGAACCCCACAACCCAGGGGAGGGAGGGGGCCCCTCTCC